TTAATACAGAAATATATAACACATCACAAGTTTAAGCACTAAGAAAGTTAACTTAAGGCCTAAGCAGACTGCCAGAAATAGTGCACATTAAATTGAGGCACTGCCCTGGCTCAGTGCTAGGGAATCATGGGAACTGTATTTTTTTCTGAGACATTGAGCCTTCTCTGTCAGAGAGCTCTGGTGCCACAAGAAACTACAGTTCCCATGATTCCCCAGCACTGAGCCAGGGCAGTGCCTCAATTTAATGTGCACTATTTCTGGCAGTCTGCTTAGGCCCTTAAGTGGGGAAGAATACTGGATCATGCATATTGGGTCCACCATGATTAGCAAACTGCATTTTCATCTCAGTTTTGCTTGCAAAATAAGATAACTTTTTATTTGCTATGGAAGCAGGAAAATTTTCTTGCCCTTTTCCAATAACATCTCTAATCCCCCTTCTACCTCTTTTGATCAAAGATTGTGATGAGCATCACTTTAAGATAGGCAAAAGCTAATGACAGATAGCTATCTGATCTGAATTATTGTTTCAAATAGTTGTGGCCCCTTGCTAAGGGTATTTAACTCTTGCTCCAGTTGTAGACAAGTCATAATTACATGTAGGCTAATATGGAGAGAAATTTATGCTGTTAGGTATATGAATGATCCTGACTAAGACGGAAGGTTATTCTACAGAACCTTAAAAGTTTTTTCTACTCTATAAGTAAAGATTATATGTTGCATAATATTATTACTATACCAGATCAAATAAAGTTTAATATATAACATATCTCAAAATGTATTTTCTGATTCTAAACATAGTGACCCTTCTGTTAAGATGGCCTTCTGCTTGTTGATTTCAGAGCTATGAATCCAGAAAGAAATCCAACTTTAAAAAAAAAAAGAGTACTGCAGAGTAGAAATAGAAGAAACATCCAACCATGACAATATGGAAATGAAAGCAGTGATGTACACCATCTTTTCCACACTAAAAACTGGGGCAGAAAGGGACACTTCAAAACCACTCCCCTGTGGAAACACATCTCACAGTTGTGTTCCTATCTTGTAATGTGAGGGGTACACATTGGAAGATCAGAACAGAATTCAAAAGGACCTCAGTAAACTAGAAAGCCAGCATGTCAGAATGGTTTGAGTGTAGCACTGCGACTCTGGAGACAAGGGTTCGATTCCCAGCTCAAACAGAAAACCCACTTGATGATCTTGGGCAAGTCACATGCTCTCAGCAAACCTCCTCTGAACAAATCTTGCCAAGAAAACCCCATAGATCTAATGGTTTTAAGTTACAGAAGGGTGAATTCCAATGGAATATTACAAGGCAATTCCTGACAGTGAGACCTTTTTGACAATAACAGCAATAACCTAAAGTAGTGGTGGTGGTGTACAGCTTTGTGGCTTTGACTATGGCAGCTTTGTTTGACATTTTGATTAGTACAAGGGAGTATTGTAAAGTAATAATTATCACCCCAAAGTTATTAAAGTATATTGATGAAATTTTGTCAGTGCCATCATTGGTCCTGAAGTGTATGATGTTGAGAAAATCAGCTCTTTGTGTCCTTTATTTTTGTTACAGGCTGTGCCAGAAGTGACTAAAGTGTAAGATGGAGAAAACTGAGGCTCGCAACATGATAAAGTTCCTGCATTTGAAGGGTAATAGTGCCCAGCATATTCAAGATGAGATGATGGTAGTTTATGGAAATGACTGCCCACCTTATGACAATATTGTAAGGTGGAAAAGGAATTTCCAAACTGGTCACATGTCCATCACAGACAAGCTAAGACCTGGAAGACCATCATTGATGGACGATGCGGCCACAGTGAAGAAAGTGGAGTGGTTTAATCCTGGAAGACATATGAGCACCCTTCCAAATGATCATGAATGAAACTGGCCTCAGTTATGGTAGTGTGTGGAAAATTATTCATGTGGTCCATGTCTAAGGTGTCTGCACACTGGGGTCAACATTTGGTAATCCCTTTCCAGAAGCAAACACGGTATGACCTTTCAAGAAAGATGCTGACACTGTTGGAACAGGATGAACATAATTTTTTTGGTCATCTGGTAATATGGATGAATCTTGGATCTATCAGTATGATCCAGAGACCAAAACCATGAGCATGGAATGGAAGCATGCCAACTCCCCTCCCCCCCCAAAAAAAGGCAAAGGTGCAAAAGTCAGCAGGGAAGGTCATGCTCTCAGTTTTAGGAGACTGTCATGGAGTCATTCTCACAGATTACCTTGCAAAGGGACAAACCATCACTGGCACATACTACAACAATCTTCTGGACAAGATGCGAGATGCTCTGAAAAAGAGATGCCGCGGTATGCTTCCTAGAGGCATTCGTCTCCTAGCCGACAATGCACCAGCTCACTCATCTCAAGTTGCAGTTAACAAAGCAAGGGCATGTGGCTTTGAGATCTTGCAGCATCCACCTTATTCTCCAGACCTCGTATCAAGTGACTTTTTTTTGTTCCCAGAAATGAAAAATCCATTGTGGGGTTGCCGATTTGACAACACTAATGATGTCATTCATGAAATGGAAGAGTGGTTTAAGGCGCAATCTGCAGATTTCTACAATAACGGTATTCGGAGGGTCAAGAAACGCTAGGGAAAATGTGTAAATCTGGAAGGTTACTATGTAGAGAAATGTTAACAAGTATAAATCAAAACAAACTTTGTCAAATTTTTAAAAAGGTAATAATTAAATTTTACGATACCCCTTGTATGTTCTTTCTAGTTTCTCCAGCACAACTCGGTCAGATGTTGACCAGAGTTGTGCTGGAGAACCTAAGAGTTCCTAGAAAAAACACTTCTCTGGGCACTTCTAGGTCCTCCAGCATGATTCTTTGATCAACTTCTGGCAGATGCTGATCACAGAGTTGTACTGGAAGACCTGGAAATTCCTAGAGAGGTGCTCTCTTAGGTAAAAAGAATAGTGTTTTTTATTTGTGGTTTCCCCACATTCACTGGGGTTCTTAACCCCTATCCCCAGTGAATGAGGAGGACCACTGTATTTTTCTCTAAATGTCTTCAGAAAGAGGTTAGACAGTTACCTGCTGGGGATGCTCTAGCTGGAGATCCTGCATTGAGCAGGGAGTTGGACCTGATTATCCAGGAGGCCACTTCCAGTTCTATGATTCTATATACA